ACTAGTACAACTTTGTGATCGGTGCGCCTATAAATAGCAATGACAAAGACTCATTGAATTTTGTTTGCTGCTGCTGCTGCTATTGACGGTTAAAAATTATGCTCGTATCAGACACCTCTGTTATGCCACGGTCGTTGCAAGGCCATAATCGCGTTGTGTGATTTCATGGCCCATGACGTAGCCGAGCATTCGATATGAATTAAGCCGCTTGCACACATGTACACCCTACACGCGCTACAAGGCATAAATATCGCCCGCGAATGAATGAAGCCCAAAAAGGCATCTGTTCCACGCATGCTCGCAGCTCCTTGTCGCTGCTGTACCACCTCCTCAGTTGGTTATTCAGGTAGCACCCCGTATACGTAGAGTAAGTGATGTCCCAGAAAGAATGCCTCGAGAATCGTTCGAGACGAGGATCGTTCGCACAAACGCTCATACAGACACGCGCGCACCTTCTTATCTAATAATGTTATAGAGAAAATTACCTCTACAAATTTATATAGTTACGAACCGACTGCTGTACGCAGTCAGTCTTTTACACTAATTGAATAGTGGTCCCATTCGCCAACGGCAAATCAGCAGCAGGTAGTCTCGAACGACACGCGTCAATTGATGACAATACGGCGCTTCTTCCGTGACATGCGGTTGCCGCTGGCGTTGGCCAAAAATTGTTTCAGTGACAGGGACCGAGCTGCTTGAGAATAACATGTACCACGTCCGAATTGGGAATTACAAAGGCGCAGACGTATGCAGCATCGGCGTCAGCCAACGAGCAACATTGGCTAGAAAAAGGAACAGTAGCAAATGCTCAAGGGAGCATATGGCCGGGTGAGTTCATTTTGACCTGAAGACACCAAAAACACAAGCGGTTAAAGCAGCACAGGATCACCGCTCTGTGCCCACGTGCGTAGCTATGCCACCTGACACGGTGTACGTAATCGAGACAATGGAAGCAGCGATTCAGATTAGATTACCTTGTGGAATAAATTATTATTTGGAGAGGCAAAAATAAATAAGAAAAGCCACGAATACCGTCACTTAACGAGTGGGCAGTGGTGAACTAAAGTTATTTGGTTTTACGACTTCCAGTACTCCTATGGGACGCTGTCGTTCGGCTAAATAAAATTGCACCAAAAACGAACGGGTGGACTGTCTTCTTGTACCGAGAATAACATAATTGATAGAACGGATAATTCGACGTTACACGTTACATATGAAATTATCACAGTTTGAGCAAAGTTGTTTTGACTGAGACTTGATAATAACAGAGTTATTGAACAGATAGAAACAAAAGACGAGATACAGACGTCAAGTCCAACCTTACGCACAACGAGGCCCGATAGGACAAACTGTATATTATGACACTCCTATTTGCCAACGATTTCCGAGTTATGCTATCGTTGCTATGATTCTTCGGGGCATGTACTCTTTGTGACCTTAACCAATACTCTTTATAATACAGTAGAAGGACTGGTTACAAAATTATACACAGGTATATATGAGGGAAAACACAAGCTAACGACCAGCACTAGCAACGGTAGCACGACCAACTCTGTTTACCTATCCCTTTTTGCTACGTACTGCCAGCTGTATTACGCGCCCACGCAACAGCTCACGCCTCACTCACGTCAGACTCGGCTCATATGTGCGTCCGCTTCCGCGCAAACAGTTCGCGCGATATTCCATATAAACAATGTATTGAACGAGTTAACTATAGCAGCAGCAGCGGCACTGCTGGCGAAGCTTCAGTAGTTAAAGGAAAAATGTCCTCGGTTTTTCTCTTCGTTGACGGAGCATTGAATTCTGGTCGTCGAGGGTCGCGTGGCAGGCCCCGTGCTGTCAGCAGTATCAGCAACGAAGATAACTTCAGCTGTTCCTCGCGATACCCTATTCTATCTGATATTATGGCCATGTACTTCGTGAAGGAACTAGACACACTAGTCAATACGAACACCACGTGAGACTCACGTGAGCACACACACGTATGCCGTCGTCCGCTCCCGCTGCTACGAGTGGAGTACGGACAATAGATAAACGAGTCGTGTTGACAGCGGCAGAGGTCTTCGGGCTTCGGTGTCGAAAATTCTTGTTTCTACTAAAGCGAGCGTTTCAAATATCGGTTTCTTGGTGCAGATAGACATGCTATAGAGACAATTCCTATTCACGAGTATATGAACAATGGCTGGTAACCACGTCGGCATGATGATTGACATTCCCGTACGTCGGATATCGCCTGCTCGAGTGAGAGCAAATCTAACGTGACACAACGCCCAAGCAGAACGAAAAGATGAGGCACCCTTATACGAGAATAGTTCGTGCGTTTGGCCGGTGCAATAATCGTATCTGTCCTATCTCTCACGACAACGACCTGATAATAGAATGCGTCAGGGTAGCATTGTCCGATCGTATGTAAACCGCAACAGAACAAACGTGATAGTACACCGCAACCACTTGGTAAACAGTTTTCGTAATAACATAGATTCGAAACTTTTAAAAACACAAAAAAAAAGAGCGAGATTATTTTAGCTGAGTGTTTGCTTACGAGAGTTGCGGTCCTTGCATTAGGTATAGCTTGCTAGTACCATATCTGAGTGCTCGAGCCCTGAACTTGGCCGGCATGTATGTCGAACAATGCCCTATAAAATGGATCGATCCTTCTTCAATGTAAGCTGACATTTTGATACAAGCAAAAATTTATTATCAGTTCTTTTTCGTACCGCTGCACAGAGCTAGCTGCCGTTCGAGGAATTTATCAGAGCTTACGGATCCATTATAAAGCTACGCAAATCTTTTCAAAGGCTGGCCTTGCTGGTCTCATTTGATAAAACAGACAGAACACAACAGCTGGAAGACATTTGGTATTTGCGTACAGGTACTATAATATGCTTTCTTCATAAGTGGTTCAACGATAACGACACCGGTGGACTGCCATGCCCAAATGATTGATAGAGTGTTTGTTGGTGAAGAGTAATTTGCTACCGTGCAATACGAACTATATAAATCAATAGATTTCCCACAAAAGTGTTCCCCCTTTAATTGATGAAAATAATAGTCATACTATCAGTACGTAATAATAATCAGCAAGACGAACAGCGAGGGAAGTACTAAGCTTTTATTACGGCCATAAATTTTTGCGTCTGCTTTCCTAACAATTAACAAAGCTGTGGATGTGCTGACCTTTGAAGACACCTTTGTTGTGCGATTATGTAAATATAGACCTCACCCAATGTTCCCGAATGGAGGATACTATCCGTTAACTGAGAACTGACTAAAGGTGACTTCATCGGCCTCATTATTTTCTGCAGTGAAGAATAAACGGATACGATGAATAGCGAACGCTGCCTGAATGCGTGTTCGATTAACTGTGTAACAGCGAATTTACTACGTTCAGCGTATAGGGCGTTAGGGGGTTATGGCGACGCTTCCAATCGTAGCTCACTGTCGGAAGCTCTGCGACCTGCATCTGTCTCGGACTCGCAGGCAGTTCCGAATAAGCCGCTAGCTTCAGTGGTTGTAGTGTTCAGATCGACTAGAGTCAGACACATAAATCTTGAAATAAGATTTTTTAACACGCATGTTCACTGTTGGACGTGCTATAAACGATAATGCTGGGTTCTCAAAATCGCTCTAGGTCTGCCAAAGCTGTTTTGGGAATTAGTTGCAACGCAAATAAAACAAACGACATTCAAGAATTAGAAACAATTCCAAACCCGGTGCGTTGTGATCAAAACCCAAGCTGACAATGACAGACGCTAGCTCGTAATGAAACTTTCCTACAGGCTCTACTTGTTGTGTCTATAGGCGTTGTCTGTGTGCGATACTGTGTCTGTGACATCATTTCAGGCTGATCCGTAATTATTGCTTTCGTAGTTTATTCTGAAACAAAAAAAAAACAACGTTGAAGGTAAAAACGACAATAACCAAAGTTGTTCATGAAATAAGTCGTCTGCTTGTGCGCTTAAGAGCAGCGTTGTCATTGAACGGTCGCGCGTCAACTTCATGTCACTTCCAAACCGATCGACAAGGGTCGATCGTATGTCGTACACTTCGCGCACAAGCTTCAAGAATCGATATATCTTCCTTCAGCGGATATACAGTCGGTCTGTGCAGTCAGACAGTCAGTAAGTTAGATAGTGCCAACGAAACGAACTTAATCTAGTGCTGTTCAGCTTGATGGGACCCAGTCAGCGAACTGTCAGCCCAGAAGTCGACGAAAAGTCAGAACTGGTTTAAGGACCCAGCGCTCATACAGAACTAATGAAGAAACAGGCCAGAAGGAAAATGCAAAACAGACGAAGATAACTTACGATAAATTTGTCCTTACGATGAAAGCAATAAAGACGACGAAATAAAAAAAAATTGGAAAGTTGAACGCGGCCTACTCTATAAAATGCGGATGGAAAATAAAATTATAATAAATACATTATTTAACCAATGGACAGGGAGCAAAAAGGCTTCCTTATTAAGATTGTTTAGATTGGACTTAAAAATCGTAAATCAATATATATATATATATAAAGTAAAATAAGATCGATCTTAATAATAACGACCGATTAGACTTGTTTAGATTAAAAAGATTGCAACGTTCCATAAGCTTAAAATATATAGTTGAGAAGTGCTAATGGACTGACAAATGGGCTGTGTGTGGGTGCACGTGACTCATCGCTACGGCACTCAGATTACTCTATAATTGATAGTATGTGTAATCAGAAGATCTTCAGCATAAGCCAAACTATGATGACTCAATGATTTGCCAGGTGATGGTGAGTACATCCTGCAAAAAAGAATTTTGTTTAGACTACTACGTCACTGACGAGCTGATTCCCAAGACGTGTGTAGGTATGAGCCCAAACGTCTATGTCCGTCCTGCGGGCAATATTCATCTAAAACCGACAAATGCTGCTGTCCACATTATAATGGGCGCTTTAAGAACAAAACCCATCCAAGCAGAAAACTCGAAAAGGTCAGTACGCTGATGTTATCCGCGATTGTTTACTTACCCTTCTTCCCGCTGGAGTCCACTTTTATTGTTATTGTTGTTGTGCTCTTCAGAGTCATTCGGCGATCTGTTTGCTGTAGCAGGTAAAATCTTCTGATGAGTTTTAGGTTGCACCTTCCATTTCAACATTTTGAGGCTATACTCCGAGCGACACCCCGTGTTTGTGCTGGGGCGTTAGACGAGTAGTCAATTTAATTCAGGGACTGAGCAAACGTTCTCGTCGTCACAGAGTTATAACAATTGAAAGCGCTGAACAATCGTGCACGTTATCCAATAGCTCACAAACCGTAATCCAGCAGTGTATTGTCCAAACGATCAATACTACGCTGTATATAATACTATTCTACATACAATTTTAGTGTGAAGCTGATTCGAAGCACCGGGAAGATCGACATAGGTAACAATCACCGCCCAAATCATAGAACTTCTTCTTGTGCAACAACTCCAAGATGTAGAGGCTGTTAAGGACGACGACGACGACAACCTCTACAATGATCAACAATATGAAAACGGCCAACGCAGAAAATGATCAACCTTTTCCTGCTGTCGCTGTTGTTGTTGGTGCCGTTGTATTTCTCTGCGTAGGCAAGCCTGTAAGGTCACGTCGTTGCCCGCTTCATAATATTACAGCCGTTGAATTTCTACTATTATAGTAGGCGCCCATGCTGAAGCAACATTAAAACCCTCTGCAGATACTTTAAATGACGTAAATTAAATAACTTGAAAGCTTAGCGCCACACGAATGCTACTAGCAGAAGCAGCTGCAGTGGCGACATTAATCGTTGTCGGCGTCAAAGTGGACGTACTCGTAGCAATGCGCCGGTCTCCGCCGATGTCCAGCCAACATCGTCCTCTGAATTAGCAGGGCGAGAGGAACAGAAACAGAGCACAAACATACAAGAAACGTCACGTTGGGCGTGAATAGTCAGAGGTTTACAACTGCCAGTCACCGCTGGTAGTTCGAGTACTGCTATCACTTCGCTGCTGCGAGGCTCTCTGTTGCGCGTCGCTGTTCTGCCGTTAACGGGCAAAAGCTGCCAGGCGGTAACCGTCGGGTTCGACGGGGAGTCCGTTGACGGGTTGTGAACTCAACTTGATATTATTGCTATGTAAAGATCGGACTTTCGATCCCTGCTGTAGCACTCTATGCACTTGTGTACAGCGATTGCTCCACGAGCGTAAACAATTTATGCGGACTCTGGCCATACAGCGATACAGGAGGAGGCACAGGGCGAATCAGAACGACGTCCAAGCAATATCAGCTATTAGACACTTGTTAACGTTGATGCTATGGCTGATGAATAGCTTCTCTAAGCTGTCTTCGCTAACCCATGCCGCGCTTTGAGAGAGAACGGCTCGCTCGTATCGCAGCAGTTCTAGATAATTCCACATTTGTTTAAGCGGAGACCGGTCGTTGTCACAGCCATCGATCTGTCCTCATATACAGATATATAGCCAGTTTCTGCTGTGGAAACGGAGTCACCACCGTGGTTGTTGTTCACACACGATATATGTGTACGTGTGTGTGTCTTCGATTATCGTCCACAGGACGTTCGTTACCAGCGCAACTAGGCACAGTCCGGAGCAACATATTATGGGTAAAACAATTATCAAACAGCCTCTACAAGTAGCAGCAAAATTCGCTAAAACGCCACGGACAGACGTAGCGTTGAACACGTCCGTTCGCCACGGCTGTCAGCCACTTCTGAGCGGACCGCGCACCGGAGGCGCGAATAGTTTGTCTGGTTGCCGCTGTGGCGCTCGTGTCGCACGAGCACAGCGCGCGATTAGTCACCGCAGCCAGTCGGTTGATCGGTAGTAGTTAGTGAGAGGTGACCGTAGTCAAATTGCCGTCGCTGTTGATGTTGCTCTGGTCCGAGCTCAAAGCCGTGGAACCGAGATAGCGGAGGTGGTTCTGAAGGGCAGTATAGACTGCGCGATTTCTGCTGCTGGTAGTGCTAATAGGCGCTAGCGGTGGTGATCGGTGTCTATAGACAGGACGTACCCAGGCGGCCCATGCATAGACAGGTCGCTGTTCACGGCAACGGGCAGTCGCGATCGCAGCAGCATCAACGGCGATGGCGAAGAAATGGAAGAAGATAAAACGAAAGAATAAACGGACACTGCGACCTAGGCGCACATGCATGAGAGAATCTGCCTCTTCGGCGTTTTCAGGTCTCGCCTTTTCTTGCACTCTATTCAGGTACTTTGTACACAGACAGGTTCGTGTAAAAGGCGATCGATACGGAGCCAGAACTCAAGAGCGATGAGATGGCTTCGAATTGGTGGTGGCTTCGAGAGACAAAGGTAGAACGATTAAATACTACAGCGCAGTCCTGGCTCTGATATGAAGCTGCGATAGACAGCATTAGGCTCCGTAGGCAGAATTTCATCGACAACAAGCAGAAACGGACGCTGACGGTACAGAGATCGTAAACAAAACGCCGCCGAGATTTCGGGGAATTTCTGCTCGGCGGCAAAATCTTTCTCTCCATCTCTTTTACGAAGAGGGGGGGAGACAGACGCGATACATAAAAGCACACAATCGTTCATATCGGAGAATCGTTTGTAAACGAACTTACCTGCAGCAGAGAACAAAGGAGGTTGTGCGGGGACGGTGCGTCAGCGTCTTCGGACAGAACACGGTAAAGGTAGAGGGGACTGCTAGGAGGCGAACAGAATGATTTTCCTCAAAGGAATGATTAAATGCCAGGTATACACGTGAACGAGGTTCGTATATTTGTTCCAGTGTGTACAAACTTCCCGGCGAAGCTTACCGGCAAAAATCGATTAATAAAGGGATCGACGAAGATTTGATACGGGTTAAATGTAAAGACTTATGCGTTTAGCAAAGGACAATGTAAAAGGCAAAATCACAACACAATTGATCATAATTGCAAGCACGTTATAAATTTATAATGCCTCCGTGTTTATCATATTAATATCTCAATTGAATAAATAAAATCGAAAACAGAAATGAATCGGTGAAATATTTGGGTTTCTCAAGAGCCTTATGTTATCTACTATACCGGTATTATGCTAGTTGATAAGAACTGTATAAACGAATCAGCCATACGATTTTGGCCTGTTAGTCGGTCGTTCGTTGTAAGCCCATCTATATAATCTCCACAGGTGGTAGGCATCTTATGCGACGCAGTTTTGCTTCTGATACCTCGATTTGAAGGAATCCGACGTTCCAGCGCCCGGCTGGAAGATGAACGAAACAACGATGCATTGTCACAAAGGATATAGAATAGAGTATCTATCGATCAATTGTTGCCATATGTTTATGAAGGTTATTCACTAGCACCGTGCGAATATTTTTGTTTATCTATTGATATTAATAATCGTCGTATTTGTTTAGAAATATGTGCGTTATTATATCAACGATACCGGTTACCGTCGTTCTCAGGTTTGCGAAAGATGTTTTTTTGACGAACGAATTTAATTTTGTATGTATACATATTTATGTAAATTCTTGTGTACATGCTGAACATAACATGAATATTTATAGCCTTCAGTACGTGCAATTACTATATGTGCACTAGCGTATATCTAGTTAAAACGTAAAGTTCGTCTTTACACATTTGACTAAAAGGCCCTATTGTTCCTTGTGTCCTGCTAACGGACCGGTCCGCAGCAATACGGGAAAGTCTCTCAACAGAGATGACACGCGTCAAGAAGTTTCAGAAGTGCAGCTAATCTAGTACTTTACGAGTGCTCCTTTTGTACTATAGATAGACTCCGAGTTATACATTTTACTATAAAATATTGAAATAATCTATTTTTCAGCGATTGTGTTGTCGTATGTTTCTGTAGAGTCATCCTTACTCCAAGACCACTCCGTTCTGTTCTATTAAAGTTCGGCTTTCTAAGTAGGACTCGAATAGTTGATACAAATAAGGCCACAGCGTCTGTTCCTGCAAACGACAAGCTCCAGGATGGGAACAAGAGCCAATACGAAACTGTCTGTACGCCTACAGCAGTCACCTATCGTAGCATCTAGTAAATAAGAATTTCGATAGATAATACGTCATATTCGACCCGACGATCGCTATAGCTAGATAGAAAATAATTCAGCTGCCTGTACAACCAGTCTTTAGTAAGGCTGAACTGATTATCACTGCCGTATATAGCTACCGTTACAAATATAAATAAATTCTATATAATACATGCTAAATAATGTTTGTCGGACTGCCTGCCGAAAGCGTAAAATGCCCATAAACCCCGATACAGATACCAAGCGACTGGCTATTAGAGTTCGCCTCTGCGAACATGGCTTCGAGCAGGCCGAAGCTCTGTGGTGTTGTTACTGGTTGCCTGAGAAACTCTGAAGGACAAAGCCGTACTGTATCGACGTGTCTCCGAAAAGCGTTCAATTCAACGAATAGCCATCAGTTCTACTTCAACAGGTCACCCTCTTCGTCAAGCGACAATGAAGGAAGCCATCTGTGTGCCGGCACCGCCAGCAGTTGAGAGATTATTTGACCGTCTTCACTCCGAAGCTCGCAGGAGCGCGCAAGTCTTCAGGTAGGCCCAGCACGCTTAACGAGACGAGTGAGTCCTGCACAGCGACGAGTGAATCCATGAAGCTCAGATAACTTCACAAGTGATCATCACCATGAACCATCACTTGTGAACTTCGATTACATGTATAGCCCGTGAGACGGACTTGGCTCGTTTTTTTTTTTTCGGTAAGTGTATATAGATATGTTGTCAGTTTCAAACAAAAATATTTTTATGGCTAGTAGATGGCATAGTTCGTAGGCTATCCTTGACATCGTAGATATAGGAGATTTTTATGAACCGTTAAGAAAAGATGGTTGTGGATAATTAGTGATTTACATACACAAAAGTCAAACTGTATCCTGTTATGCACAGACGTTCATACTAACAGCAAAATGTAATACATACGGTTATTGGTGGCGAGCTGAAAAGGAACATCTCAACAATCGTTAACTGCCCTTCACGATGTCTATGTGTTCTAACGTTTGCAGTGACCAGTTCGGTGTCAGATACAATAGTGTTACAAAGTAATATATTTACGGAATCAAGTCGATCAGCCCGTTGTTTTTGCAGCTTCCGCCGCCGTGATGCGCAGTCTACAAATTGTCTAACCTTTTTTTGTGGTTGTTATCGACTGTGCACAATGAATGTTGTCGCATGGTGATATCTCGCCTTTCACAGCGGTAAGCAGAGACCGCCTCGAACGGGAGGATAGCATCCTGCTCCAGCTGTGACAGTCAGCTTCGTGCATCTCTGTGGCGTCTCTCCTTGTTCGTTCGGACGCCCGTAAAAGCTAGCTTGCGGATCAGGCTAATTAGCCATACAGGAGATTCACTCTATCTCCGCCACTGCAGTCTGTTTCAGGACAGTTACTAGCTCACACGACACACCCACGATTTACGTCACCATCGGCATTGGGAGAGAATGTCTCGGATCTCGTTGACGATCGCGCCGCAACGAGAAACATAGTGGGAGTGGTCGAATACGAAATAGCGCTTAGGCAGAGCACCAACTACAAAGCATATCAGGGGCAACTCAAACGAAAATGCGTATAATCCATGCTCCTCAAATATGTACTAGCGTTTGACAGTGACGAAAATGGCGTTCGTGAATGAGCTGGTCTGTGCCATTGTTTTCGCCGGTATCAACTGAAGAGATCCGGAACTCGTGAAGTGAATGAAGAAACAATAGCGTTCTTTAGTAGCGATACCTAGATGACGACGTTGGCGGGACGGCGATTTAATCGATTAACGACGCTATGATAATGGTCTGCTTTCGTTGATTTCAGGCAGTGTTTTTGCGCATGTGATCAACGAAGGCCGTCTGTTGCGGCTTGATCTCTTATCCCTATGAACAGAAACCATGTATTAGATTTTATTTGAGCTTAAGTATATATATGTATGTATGAGGATACGGTTGGCGTGCCGCAAGGAATACGGTGGAGGTATGGTTGTCTTTTTTGTCGAGGTATGGGGCGATTGATCGCTGGCGATGATGTGCTTCTTTCGGTTGTATAGCGAAAACAAATTGTCGGCTTTAATTTATAACAGCTATTATGATCACACAGAAATAAGTGTAGATGGATCCTTCCAATAAGATATAACTGATACAGTACCGCCGCCTAATCGTATGTGACTCAGCAAGCGAATCCCTACAACAACATTATCAACAAAAATTCACCACTTTGATCTATCTAAATAAATTGGTTGCATTTATTTTAGTTGCAACTTGTGAAATAAAACAATTCTTAATTGGTTGGTAATCACCTGCGAGACCAAGCGAACCGATATAGTATCTTTGACTATATTTCAGGGGACGTTTAACATGACGGTTCGCTACCCATACTTACACATTCATATGTTAATATGTGTTAGGATAGCAAAAAACTGGGTCTTCCATTAGATCGGTAACTGAATATGGCTGGTCAGGGAATACTTCTCGCTTATCTATGAGCCAAAAGGTAATATTCGAAAACTCCAGAGACTAGTAGAATGATCAGAAAATTCCCAAAAGAATTGAGATCGGCCTTTAAAACGCGTCTAAGATATGTTCTGTTCGAGCAAAACTCGTTTATTAATTAAAAGTATAGAAATCACGACAGGCCCTATGCAAGGGACGTAAAGGAACACAGGCTTAAGACTTATTTTTCTAGTCTGACGAACCAAATTGAATGACATTTTCTGTAAGATTATTCGTATTATTATTAGTTTATATATATTATTATATATTATTATTATATATATATAATATAATAATTATAATATTATATATATATAATAATAACAACGAAGAGTGTTTTCGTTTTCGATAGATGTTTGGCGTGATAACCGCGCATAGGTGACAAAGCA